CTATTCAATAGTTATTCAAAATACATACACAATAAATGATCAAGACCTGATAAGTCACATGTGGGTTACATACATGATATGGAGTTATGCATAGAAATGATTAGTTGCTCACAACAAGTCCTTTTAGTGTCATTTAGATGCATATTTACATGGAAAGGTAGTTTCTGTAGCATTCTGTGGATGAGGACATATTCTGTGAAGACCAGAGGTTAAAAGGTCGGTAAGGAATCTGTTTGTTCTTTGTCTCCTAAGTGGGGGAGTCAATCCAAAGAGCTTGTGATTGCTATCACTGGTTACCATGTGATGGTCACGCCGTGCATCTCTTTTGACCATTAATCTTAATTACTTGCCCCAACATTGACAATCTCCTTGGAATTGTCAATAAGTGTTCTTTTGTTTAAATGCTGTGAGCTACTCAAAGCTGCTGGTTGGTTCAGGTTTGTGGCGCCAGGATCTGATTTACGACATCCGGTGTCTTGGGCCTCTGTGGAATTCAACTGTTCTTTATCAAATCTTACATTGTCTGATTCGGTCTGATATCCTACACATTTAATTATTCCATGTCTTACTTGAATGCTGCTTTTAAGGGTGTCTATCTACTGTACCTGAAAATTTAGAGCAGTTTATTATATTTTCTTTTATTTACTTTATCTCAATGTCATCAATGCCTTGTGCTATAAAATAAACATGATCACATAAACAAGGAAAACAATTCAAAATAAATATTATTTACAAAGGTGTACAAAACTTATATTTCTGTATATTTTGTATATTTTTAGAGGAATATTCCATGTTCAAAGATAAGCTTATTCAACAGTATTTGTAGCAAAGTTTCAAAGTTTTTTTACAAAATGATAATACTAACAACAACAATAATCTTGTAAATCAAATAAATCTCTTGGTTAGTGAGGCACATTGTAAGTAAAATAGAAACAAATTTTGGAATCCATATAGGGTCAGCCATCATACACCGAACTGGACTAGATCCATTTTGTCTGAACACAAAGTCTGAGACACCATTACTGCTTAAGTGGACCAAAAAAGGATCTGAGTCCTCTTTCAGGAACAGGGACAGTGTGAACGTAAAGAAAACTGGGTACTTTTTCTCTTGGTCCACCTCTTGGTCTACTTAAAGTGGTTTGGGTTCGGTTCTTTTAAAGAGTACTCAAGTGTGAAAACACCCGAAGTTACAGTACTTTGCCTAGTTTAGTTCTGCCAATGAAAATAGTCCTAAACGAAGCTGAAAGAGAATCTGTTATTTCTGTGCATCTACAATAATGGTGTTTTGTTCCTGTGTTTTTGAGCGAATCGGTTAAGTGACTGACTGACTCACTCATAATGACATCATTGTTTTTGTTCCTGAGTGAATCAGTGTATTTGAACAAAATGGTTGAGTGAATTCAGTGACTCACTTATAATGACCGTCATATAATTCTGATTAGTTTAATTTCCACATTTCTGTTCACCACAAATTTGTCATACCTCCAATGTGCTATTTCATAGTTTTCATGAGTTACCTATTAGTCTTAAATATAGAATAATAATGAATATGTAAGTCTGTCTTTGACTTTCAACTGGTAAATTAATTGAAGGAAAATCTTAAATATAAGTATCTATACATAAATTTTAGCTTTTTTATTGGCCTCTATAGGCATTCTATGGACGGTTTCAATTTTCATGTCCTTTGAATTTCTTATTCTCATTAAAACATTTCTTGGAACATGAGGATTTTAATTTCTCCTCCACAGGTACGCCGGCTGGTGTGAACTATAATGAGGTGAGAGAACGACTGCTCAGAGTCAAAGGTGTCAAAGCTGTGCACAACCTTCACATCTGGGCCCTGACAATGAACCAGGCTGTGCTCTCCGCTCATGTGGCTATAGGTAACACTTTTAACTCCATATAGAATCTGTGTGGCATTTATTAGCATATAGCCTATAGCAAAAACATATTTCTGAAATATTAACCCCAGACATGAGTTTATAACCATCTGTTCATTTTTAATTCCTCAGATGATACCGTAGACCCACAGGCGGTGTTGAGAGAAATGACCCAGGCCTGTTTCACAACATACAGTTTCCATTCAGTAACCATTCAGCTGGAGCATCAGGCGGACCAGAGGGCTGATTGCAGCCTCTGTCAAGACCCCACAAAGTGAAACATTCAGAGACTTTACATTAAAGAACGGCCCTGGTCCAAAGGGACAAAAGATCAATGAAAGAGATCATTGAGGATTATTGTGGTGTCCATATTTTATAGCTGACATCATTTCACAAGTTTTAGTTTTTTGGACTTTGGACACCTCTGTTTCTGTTTTGTCACTAATTTGATTTAAAGGGACAGTCACCCAAAAAATGAAAATTCTGCCATTTACTCACCTGTATGTCCTTCCAAACCAGTACTGCTTTTTCTTCTGTGTTTTTTGTCTGCTCATGAAAGTTGTTTGGACCCCATTGTTCTTCTGTTGTGTTCTGTAAAAGAAAGTAAGTCATATAGATTTGGAATGGTGTGAAGGTGAGTTTAAATAGATGATTTTTTTTTTGCTGGACTAACCCTTTAAGAAAAATTTGTTGAGATAAATCTGCCAGGAAAATGACTTGTTGATATGTGCCAAATCTAATTCACTGAGCCAGGTAAGAATGTACTTTAGCAATGAAAATCATTTTGAATAGGCATATAATAACAGTATTTGTTCTGTCATTTTACATTTGTTCTTGTTCATGTTTATTTTTTGTCATCAGCAAACAAGACTACTGTGATGGTGTAATATACTGTACTTTTTGAACATCCCTTATTTAAAGGGATTATTACCACTAATCAACAGAATGTTGATATTATTGTTGATTTTAGGCTTTGTTTGCTTAGTTAGTCCTCTTCGCCTCTAGCGAGACATAGGGCAAGTAGACAAGTTTGTTTGCTTACTTTCGTTCTTATTTCTGTAACGCTGAGAGAACTTTTCATTTCTTTGATCACTACAGGACTGATAAAGTATTTTGTCCCATTTCCTATGTTATGTTTTTCACTCCTCAAGCAAAGACTGAAAATTCATATACGGTAACACTTTACATTTAAGTTTCCGGTGTTTTCCCCTCAGCATTTAGACAGGCTAGTATAATCCCACTACTTAAGAAACCCACCCTTAACCCACCTCTTTTAGAGAACTACAAACTGGTTTCCCTTCTTCCTTTCATTGCAAAAATACTTGAATGAGCTGTGTTCAACCAAGTCTCTGGCTTTCTCACACAGAACAAACTCCTGGACAGCAACCAGTCTGGTTTCAGAAGTGGACATTCAACCGAGACTGCCTTGCTCTCAGTTGTTGAAACCCTAAGACTTGCAAGAGCGGATTCCAAATCTTCAATACTTATCTTGCTGGATCTGTCTGCTGCTTTTGACATGGTTAACCACCAGATCCTCCTGTCAACCCTATTGGCAAAGGGCATCTCAGGAACCGCACGCCAGTGGTTTGAGTCTTACCTCTCATATAGGTCCTTCAAGGTATCTTGGAGAGGTGAGGTGTCCAAGTTGCAATATCTAACTACTGGGGTGCCTCCTGGCTCAGTTCTTGGACCACTTCTCTTCTCTGTCTACATGGCATCAATAGGTTCTGTCATTCTGAAACATGGCTTTTCATATCACTGCTATGCTGATAACACTCAACTCTACCTCTCATTCCATCCTGATGATCCGACGTTAGCTGCTTGCATCTCAGCTTGTCTGACAGACATTTCTTGCTGGACCATCACCTTCAACTCAAGACAGAACTACTTGTGGTTCCATCAAACCCATCGTTTCATCACAATTTCACCATCCAATTAGGCACATCAACCATAACTCCTTTAAAAACAGCCAGAAACCTTGGAGTTGTGATTGATGATCAGATGACTTTCTCAGACCACATTGCTAAAACTACCCGGTCCTGCAAATTTGCTTTATTCAACATCAAGAAGATCAGGCCCTTTCATTCGGAACATGCTTCACAACTCCTTGTTCAAGCTCTTGTTCTGTCCAGGCTGGACTATTGAAATGCTCTCTTGGCAGGTCTTCCAGCCAACCTTTACAATTAATCCAGAATGCGGCTGCAAGATTAATTTTTAATGAGCCAAAAAGAACGCACGTCACACCTCTGTTTATCAATTTTTGGGTATGATGCGACCAGTGTTGGGAAGTAACTAGTTACATGTAACGGAATTACGCAATTTAATTACAAAATAAAAGTAACTGTAATCAGTTACCGTTGCTGAGAAAAAAATTGCAATTAAATTACAGTTACTTATGAAAACGTTAAGGATTACAAAGGGGGTTACATCTGATTTGTTCACACACACTCCCACATACAGATTTAATTGATTTCTTTCATGAATTGCTGTGACTGCTCTAAAATATGAAACATCAATGTTTCAGGAGTTTATAACATGCTTATTCAATAACTCTTTTGTTTCATTTATGGGCTTATGTATAGCTATGCTTCATTTTTTAAGATTACCTGTTTTTTCCAAGGCATTGTTAGATTCCAGACAGTGTTTCTTGCCATAGCCATGCAAAGATTTGATTTCAAAAACAGTATCATAGCTAATAAAATGTTTCTTGTTATGATTTTAAATATGTATTTAACCTCAGAAATACATTGTTGCACTGCTTGCGCGTGCCTCAAAAGAGGGCTTACAATGACTTGCAAAGATACATAACAGCTACAAGTCTATGCACTAATTGCTACAAGCACTATATAGGATAAATCACTATACAGGATTTACCCTATTATACTTTATCAACACGAACAACAGGAAGGTGAAACAACAAACAGCCACCCTCAAATAGTCTATAAACAAAGCATCAGGCTGTCTTTGAGTTCACATGAACAACGGTTAAAGTTACTTGTCGTCAGGCTACAGAAGAATACCACAATTCCTCCGTTCAATTAGGCCTAAGTCATCGCAGACCTATAACAACTCAGGCACAACACATAATTGCGAATAACATGCCTTACCTTAACACAGAATCGACCACAGAGTCCAACGTTTATATTTTTTCTACAAATCTTTCAGTTAAAGGGGTCATATGATGCGATTTCAAGTTTTCCTTTCTCTTTGGAGTGTTACAAGCTGATTGTGCATAGATAAGATCCCTGAAGTTGCAAAGACTAAAGTCTCAAAACCAAAGAGATATTCTTTATAAAAGTTAAGACTCTGCCATGCCCCCCTAAAACGGCTCGTTCTAACACGCCCCCACATATCTACCTCACTATGTGGAAATATTAGCATAATGCCACCCAAATGTTCACGCAAAGAAAGAAGGCGTGGTTTCAGTAACCGCAGTTAGTGTTGAAGCAGCATGTCAGGGAGACGCTGTGTGTTTCTAGGCGAAAGCAAAAGCACTTTATTTGGCCTTCCGAAAGTAGATGCATTTAGGAATCTTTAAGATCACTTACAACAGAACAGCAATGCATTTTATGGACGACCCTTTCGTGAACCTAGGAGAGGAGGTAATTCTGACTTTGCTATGACAATCTAGCGCTTCTGAATCAGCTACTGTTTTGTTATTAGTTTAAGTATTTGCTACTGACTGGTCAAATGCGGAGTTTTGCGCATCGTGTGTGTGTGTGTGTGTGTGTGAGAGAGAGAG